GTCCAACATAGATTTCAATTATAAAATTATGCAAGTTATTTCTTTTAGTGCTCTTTACTCATAATAATAACCAGTAACTTCTGTACTAGCTGCCTTCTACGAATCAAAATTAAGTGAAACTGTTGAGAACATACTTAATCCTAAGAGTTGGTAAGGTCATTTCCATTCTGCTTCCTCTTGTATGTTGTCATCTGCTTCAGGCAACACTACAATTCCTATGATTGAAATGACCCTCTGAGATTTTGTCATTTTCAGAAACACAAAAATTTCAATTATCCATAGCTGCATTATGTAATCCTTTGCAAAATGTATAACTTAAAACAAGTTTATTTTTTCTCTTGGTAACCCTCATTGACTGCTGGAATCTATTTCAGCTTCGTGTGCTTCTATTGCCACTCATGTATTTAGCTGGGAACTCAGGGGGGCAGATTATATCCCTTAAAAAAATAATAATAAAACACGGCTCACCTACTCACATATTCTCATTTGACAGATAGCCTCTCACTCATTCACTCATATCGTCCACATGATTTTTCCTTTGTGGGGAGTGAACATTGGCCTCTTTAGAACATAGCACAGCACTTGGTTTTGAGGAGTGTAAGTTTTAAGGTGCCAGCAGTTATCATGCCTCTGCTTGTTAATACCCCATTGGCCAAAGGAGTCTCCTGGTCAATATAGGGACTTCATGGATATGGTGAGGCATGATCCACTAAGAGCCGCCACTCTGTTCTGAGACATTAACATTTTTGATGTGAAAGATGGCTACGAACTTGCCTATAGGTGTAATAGTTTATAATATAAAACTTTCTTTCCTCAATTTAATTTTCAGATGTGATAAAGGATGGTAGAAACATTTGCTTTTTTAGCCTTTGTTTAGATAAAATCTTGCTTCAGTAAGATTAGTGATACACTTTTTAAATTGAATTCTTAAGGGATTTATTTAAACAAGACCATATGTTATTGAGAGGGGACACTATAATTTGAACTTACCTTTTCTGACTTGAATGATAGATTTGCTTCTATAACTCTGCATCAATCAGAATATGTCTAGCCTCCAGCAAAGGTAAGCTATGCCTGCCAAGTATTATACTGTTCCTCTAAAACATACTCTATTGCTGACTTTTTCTTTGGTATTGCTGAGATTGTTGAAATTGAATTCTAGGCACAGTTTTATTGATGTTTTTATGACCAAAGAGCTTATGTGGATAATATTTGAATTGTTTGAAAGGCTGCATTATTGCATAACTCCATGCAGTGTCTCATTATTAATTTATATGCTTGATAACTATTTGGTAATTGTTTATTATGCATGTCCCAGGCAGTTTCTTGGGTGCTGGACTTACAGAAATAAATGAAGCAAGCAGAAACAAAATCCTGCTTTTGTAAATCTTATCTTCTATTAGATAAATCACAAAGTAATGCATGCTTAGGAAATAACTAAAGCAACGAAGGGGGAGGCATGAAAAGGGGTTGCAACTTTAGACTGTTTGCAGGACAACTTTCTTTGGATCAGATGACATATAGAGGAGCTTCAAAAAAGTATCGAAAATGTGTATTATGGACAAATTATGTTTGAATTTCCAAATAATTTTGCACCACTGCCTGTCTTAAAATTTCATTTTCTATAAACTCTCGGAAGTATTCTCACATAAGACATAATGGAAATAAGGAAGGTAGACATGCAGATATTTGGGGAAAGAGTTTTAAATGGAAGGAAGAAGAAATGTCACAACTCTGGGATGGGGATATCCTCATATGTTACAAAAATGACAAGGGGCCATTATGGCTGGAATACAGTGAAAGGTAAGTTGGAGGAGAGGGGGAGGAGAAGGGAGGAGAGGAGAGGAGAGGAGAGGAGAGGAGAGGAGAGGAGAGGAGAGGAGAGGAGAGGAGAGGAGATCTCTAAAAGAGAAGAGAAGAGAGAAACAATGTAGACTAGATCATTCAAGGTCATTGAAGCAAGATAGATGGTTGCTTTCACTGAGATTGGAAACCATCTTTTGGTGGAGGGATCATTTGTTTAACCCACTCTATAACTTCTTGGAAAGAACTGATAGAAGAGAGCTGGGAATACTTATTTAAAGTACTGAATGTTATCCATATCCCAAGAGACTCTCTGGAAGTGGGTTTTATAGTCTGCATTTTCAATTGCTCCCAGCTGCATCCCTCTGTCCACCTAATTTTGTGAAGTGCTGGCTGACCCATTAGCACATTTCAGCTTCCAAAGAGCAAATAATCAGCCTCAATTTTACCATCTGGGTAATGCTAAATGAGGTTTTTTTACAGTTACGTTTAATGAAACATGAGCAGACTATGTGCTTCTGCAAACCAGTGCTGATCTAGCACCTTACAGACTCCCAGTAGGAACGCAGAATGAAGTATTTGCAAAATCACTGAGGTCTGTAGAATTTGCAAAGCAGCATTAAATTAGTCTTCTTAATCAAATAAGTAAGCTTTGCAATTTTTACGTAAATGATCCTAGCAAAAGTCTGAGCCCAGAATCCGGAAGGTAAAAGCTACAACTTTTTTTTTTTTTTTTTTTGTAGAAAGGAAAATTGCTGATAACACCTAGAAGCATTGGACATCTTAGCTCCTTTTCCAGATCTGTGGTCATTATCAAACATGAGCTTTACAGCCTTTCACTCAAAGGTGTATTCCATCTGAGCTCCCCCAATCCCCTTTTTCTAGCATAATTTGAGAATGGTTAAATTGCTTCTAATTTTGCCCATTTTAGCTATGGACCATAATGCATTAGTAGAATACCATTTTTAGGTTAGCCCTCTTAAAGTGCAACATATTCTTCACCATCAGGTTTTATGTGATCTTAAACTCGTTGACTAGACTAGACAGTGCAAGTCAGAAAATATGCTTTCGGGTCGAACTGAAGAAAAGTAAAAATCATTATTGGGTTTTATCTCCAGTAGTATAATTTCAAGTTAAATACCAACAGAGAAGAAAGTGAAATGTAAATGGATAAGTTTGGTAATATCTTCCCCTTAAAGGAATCTCTCCAAAACGCATAGTATGAGAGGGGAGACTGAGATAACTACATGCTTTAGAAATGCTTTTTTGGGCCCAGCGCGATGGCGCAGTGGTTAAGGTCCTCGCCTTGCACGCCCAGGATCCCATATGGGCACTGGTTCTATCCCAGCAGCCCCGCTTCCCATCCGGCTCCCTGCCTGTGGCCTGGGAAAGCAGTCAAGGACAGCCCAAAGCTTTGGGACCCTGCACCCGCGTGGGAGACCCGGAAGAGGCTCCTGGCTTTGGATTGGCCCAGCACCAGCCACTGCGGTCACTTGGGGAGTGAATCATCAGACAGAAGATCTTCCTCTCTGTCTCTCCTCTCTGTATATCCGCCTTTCCAATAAAAAAAAATAATAAAAATAAATCTTTAAAAAAAAAGAAATGCTTTTTTTTTTTTTTAAGGAATCATGAGAAGTATAACATCCCTTTCTATGTAAGAACCATTCTTTGGGTCATAAAAACAAGCAAACATAACAAATAAAGAAAATACCGTTTTTTCCACCTTCTGAATTATATAAAACTTGGCCTCCAAGAGCTGCCATTTTCTGGGCTCTCCTATTTGCTTCATAAAGAACGCTCTCAACAATTAGAATTGGCCCCCACAGTACTTACGGCCTCATTTGTACAAGGATATGTCAGTAAGTTTGGGGAAAGGGAATTAAAAGATAACATCATTATTTTCCATGAACTTTTTAGAAAGTGTTTAAGAGACAGAATAGCAAAGATTATATATATATATATATATATATATATATATATAGAGAGAGAGAGAGAGAGAGAGAGAGAGAGAGAGAGAGAAGAGAGAGAGAGAGAAGAAGAGAGAAATGGTCCAAAGGGCCAGCATGATCAGAGGTCGTCCAAGCAGAAGCTAGTACCATCCAGGTCTCCACCTGGGTTGCAGGGGCCCAAGAAATTCTAACATCTTCTGCCACCTTCCCAGGCACAGTGGCAGGGTAGCTGGATTAAAGTAGAGCATCCAGGACCCCAGCCTGTTTCAATATGGGATGCCAACAGTGCAGGTAGTGGCCTAACCCAGTGAAACAGCTGGCTTTTCAGAACTCTTTTAATACTCCTTACATGCATGCATTTCAAAAACTTCACACCAAACTAAGCTTATCTTTTTTAAATTCTGCTTCCCATGAATTTTTGAAGTTTTCTAGCGTTTATATTTGCAATCAACCTTCTGATCAGTACTTCAGAAACACACTGCTATTTTCATAGGTTATCCATTTAATTAATATTTTTATTTGTAATAAACTCTTTTTCTAGAAGAAATTTACTCAATTAATTTCTTTATTTTTAGTCCACCTGACTGCCTATATTTTCATTGTGTATATATTTATATGTGCTTTCAATATGTATGATTCTTTTCCTTGCACCCTCCCCATTCTCTAACCATAAACAAATATTCAAAAACCAAATATAAATAGTAGTTTATTTAATCATTATCTTTAAGGTCAAGAACTTAGACAAACATGTTTTTCTGTAGCATGGAAATCGAGAAGCTGGGGTGTCATGCAAAGGAAAAAGAAAACTTTTCCCAGCACATTTCTCTGATTCATCAGGTTTTTTTTTTTTTTTTTTTTTTTCAACTTCTCTGCTTTAAGAAGTAAAGTCATGGGGGAGGGTGTTGTGACATTTTAGGTGACACCCAGCCTGCAATGCTAGCATCCCATGTGGAACACCATTTCATGTGCCACCGCTTCACTTTCAGCCTACCTTCCTGCTCCAGGCCTGAGGAAAGCAGTAGAGGTTGGCCGAATTGTTTGGGAGACACAGGGGACCCTCTCCTGGTCTAGCCCAGTCTGGCACACCGCAGGATCCAGCCCCTACACACGCTGAGGATGCCACGGCCATGTTCAGCCTGGTCCACCCTCTACCCTCACACTCACCATTTTTACAATAAAATAAAACATAATAATTACAACAAACATTCCAGGGTGTCACGTCTAGTTGCAAGCTGAAGAACATACAACTTCTTGAGTTTACATTATTGATGCCAACCACCATCTTGCTGTGCCTGAATATTATGTTGCTCTTGGTCACTAATCTTCCCTACTGCATCTCAAAAACAAACTATAAAATTCAAAAAGTGTTGTGACTTCCATTAGAGATTTAGCACACGTTTTGACTTTTTGCGTCTCTTGGAGATTGAAGGAAATCCCTGCTCCTGATTAGCTTATCTTGCTTCAGGTTTAATTGAAAAGGCATGTGACAATGCACCTGTTGAAAACGTGTAAGGTTCATTGCTATGTTTTTCACAAGTAACTGGAAGGCAAATTGAATGAGTCACTTGGCTTCTTTAAAAGCCATGAGAGATAAGAAGAATATTTGTCATCATAACTGGGTGTCTGCATCACTGTTATCAACACTGATGATATGAAAGAAATCATTGCTGATCTTAGAATGAAAAAAATATTTGAAAGAAAAAATAGGAATCAATTATATAATTTCTATTTCTTTTATAAAGTTTTATTTATTTTGAAAATCAGAGTTACTGAGAGAGAAAGAAAGAGAAAGAGAGATAGAGCTTTCATTTTTGGTCCACTATTTGGATCCACCATCAGACAGGGAAAAAAATCTCCTTTATTTTAACTTTTTCAAAGTGTGACTGCCTGTTGGTTTATATATACCTGCTATGTAATCAGCCTATTATTTGTGGTGATGTGAAATTTCAAATAGTCAAAGAATTTTCAGAGTTTATTTGGAAAAAAGTTATGATTTGGGTGTTTTTCTGCATAAATTTTGCTATTAGGAGAAAACATGATAAGGGAAATAAAATCCTGAAGACCATAGTTTGAATAATTTTATACAACAAGCTCCTTCACATATATATATATATAGATATATATATATATAGATAGATAGATAGATAGATAGAGATTCTGTGCGTATTGGTGATGGTTGACGAGTTGAGCATTTGGTTTGGATTTTCTGTTTTTGTTAGTAGTGTTTCAGCCTGGATGTCAGAGAAAGCAACTCTTGGGGGAAAGCTTTTGTGTGATTTCCTTTTGATGGAATAGAGTACCAGGAACGCAGCAGTCAGAGAAACCTTCATTCATCTGTTGGAGTAGTCTTTCTGTCATCTGGACAATTGTATCTCCAAAAGACCCTCTCTGGGCATAAAGGTGGAGTTTATTCACTATCTTGTCACCCGGTAGTCAAGGGATCACCTTGCAAAAGGCTAAACGCTCTCCTCTTTGACATCGCATGTGCCCCAAACCTAGGTGAGTTTTGTTAAATTCAGTGTGAACAGAAAATAATAAGGGCAGCATGTGAAAAATGAGAAATACAGAGAGTGCAATTGAGGGAAGGCACTTTCTCATTGTTCCCTTGTGCAGCTGAGTGGAGCCATATAGATCTGTCACTGTGAATGGTGGATGGACTGGAAAAAAATCATCAAGGGCCAGGGTGTAGGAGAGGCAGAAGGCTCTCGAGTAGCAAATAAGAGCTAGTGAGCTAACATGAAATCTGTAGTCCACCTATGGTTTCTGCAGCTGATGGTGTGGTCTGTTAACAGTGGCATGGAAAGCTGCGATAGTGGAGTTAGAATCCCAACAACAGTAAGAGTGAAAGTTCAATCGTAAGAGTCCAGCTAGTTTTGAATATAACTATCAACATGTGCTTACGTTAGTGGATTGTGAGAGAATGTGGCGTCATTCTCCTTGTGAATTTAGCCTCAGTACTTACCTGTAACTTAGTACGTAGGATTGGAGTGTTCTGTAAGATTCATCTTATGCGAACTTGAAGACCACTTGTTGACTGACACCAAGGCTTCAGCCTCATGACTCACATTCAAGGTCCAGCTCTCACCTGGAATGTTTAATGTTCTCTATCACTACCTTTCTAAGATTAATGGCAATTATCGTGCTGATCTTCAATGAGGGCGTTAGCAGGATGATAGTACATACGATTGCTTCCTTATCCTGTCATTACAATGAGTAACACATAAAGTGCTGAGCTGAGGCTTAAATGCAAGATTGAAAGGTAGAGGAATTTTATTTACAAAACTGTGCCTATGGGATCATGGAGGAAAATGAAGGCTTGTATCCCAACCCTGAAGACTCCCGGATCCTCACCAAGGACTATCAGTACAAGCACCAAGGACTACATCCCAACTACCAAGGAGACCACAGGGAATTGGAGTGCCCTTGGAGGCCAAGAACTCTGAGGTCATCCACTCCCGCTTGAATCTACCACATGGGATGGAAGAAGTCCAAATCCTCCCTTGCAGGATCCAAGAGCATCAGAACAACAGCCAGGAGCCCTGAGCAGTCCACAGAAACAGAAGAACAGTAAACTTCCTTCGGGACTAGGGAGGGGAGCTTTCTCTGGTCCTTGCTTGGTTCCAACTTTGGGTCCACACCCTCTCTGGCAATGACCATCAGGATCGCTCCGGAAACCCCTCAAAACAACCAACCAACCAAACAAACAAAAAATCTAGAATAGATAGAGAACAACAAGGAAAGCTTAGAATCAGACAGGAAGCAGTCAGCATGGACTCACTTATATCTTACTAGGTGGGACACAAAGATTAGTTACTCCTCACTAGGGCATGGAAGATTTCTCTGCACACCCCTCCTTAAAACTGTTCTGCACCTAAACTGTTGACATATGTCTTGTTAGAGTTATAAGCCAGTCTAGACTTCTGGAAAAAAAAGCCAGGTTCAGCAAAATTACACTTCAACACTATAAAAAGCTAAATACTAAAAATGAAAATAGACACGAGACAGCTGAATAGTAATCCATAGCCATTTTAAGGTGTATAGAACCCGGTTGTATATAAACTAAAATTGAAATGTCAATGAAGAAGTCACAGGATGTGGTTAAGAACTTGCATTTTTTTTTTTTAACATATTGGTTACTCAATACTATGTCCACTAATTCCATAACGTTCCCGATTGTTGCTGATGTTATGTTGGGGCTTTTAATTGATCGGGATGATACTCTGCCAGCTCTACCTTCAGACCAGAGATGGTCTCCCCAAGAAGCTGTTGAACTTATCTGGACAATAAGATACTGTGCTTTATGCTTGGTATATGTTTACAATGAAAGAATCTCAACTGAACTTGAACTATGGCAATGCAACAAGTTGGAGGAATCCACCATGGTGGGGTGAGAGTTTGGGGAGTGGTTGGAGGAATCCCAGTACCTATAAAACTGTGTCACATAATGCAATGTAATTAATTTAAAAAAGAAGTTAATGGGAAAAAAAGCAGAATTCTCTTTAAATGAGTAATTTCAAACCATTAAATCTAACAATATTGTATAGGACAAACATAAATGACTGAGGTAAGAATAATGTATTAGTCAACTATTACAAGAACTGGGGCCCAGCACAGTAGCCTAGCAGGATCCCATACGGATGTCAGTTCATATCCAAGGAATCCTGCTTCCCATCCAGCCCTGCTTGTAGCCTGGGAAAGCAGTCAAGGATGGCCCAAAGCCTAGTGACCCTGGATCCATGTGGGAGACCCAGAGGAGACTCCTGGCTCCTGGCTTCAGATAGGGTCAGCTCTGGCCAATGACGGCACTTGGGAAGTGAATCAGTGGATGGAAGATCTTCCTCTCTGTCTCTCTCCTTTCCGTATATTTGACTGTCCAATAAAAATGCATAAATCTTTAAAAAAAACAAGAACTGAATTATGGGTGCTTTTCACATGGTATGATGTGAAGAAGATGTGATGATTTAGAGTATGACAGCTTTGTTATGCCTGTTAAAATCTTAAGCATCAGGTTTTCAGTATTGAAAATTCTAGCTAATTAGCTGATTAAATGAGATAAAGTGGCTCTATATAAGTCCTTCATACGTCATGACTTACTATATTATGTATAAATCATTTCATTTGTGACATTGTAAATATTTCACATACAAAATCAGGCAAATATATTTATAGATAACACAAATGAATGTGATGAATGCATGAGGCAGATGTGTGTGTACAAACACACACACGTACCATACATACCTCCACCTAATCTTTTAGAATTTCAGCTCAAAGTTGAGACCCTCTTTGAATGTTGAATGGATATCAGCTTTCCCTCACCATTTGTCCAGCTTGGTTTATACTGCGAACTCACTATATTTGGGAGTTTGAAACTATTTGTGGATTTAAAGATACATACCTATTGAGTGCTTCAAGTTTTTCTGGCACTAGGTTCAGTAATGGGACTACGAAACCACTTATGACATCTCTCCATTGTTTGAATAGATTAACACATAATGAAAAAAGATATAAAGGATAAAATCAAATGATGCCTATTTTAAAAATACACATGATACCTCATTCATTGCTTACATCAAATCTGCGAAGTAGCGAGTGAGATTACCCACCTAACGAGCAAGGAGCTAACAGACTTGAGAGTGGTCCTCAGATTCCCAAGTATCCTTGTGGTCTCACATCTGGAAACGCATCATGGACCTGCCCGATACTCTTGTCCACTTGAGTGCACCTGCACAGTTAAGTGGACCAGTGTGATTAGATAGTGAGTAAAAAAAAATATGCAACTTCTCATGTGCTTCATGATCGGATTTTCTTTAAAGATCAATCGATCTATTGATTGATTGATTGAAGTCACAGTTAGAGAGAGGTAGACACTGAAAGAAAGATCTTCCCTCTGCTGGTTCCCTCACCAAATGACTGCAACTTCAGGGGCTGGGCCAGGTTGAGGCCAGAAGCTTCATTTGGGCTTTCCCTCTGGGTTGACAGGGTCCCAAACACTGGAACCATCTTTATCTACTTTTTCTAGGCCAGAAGCAGGAAACTAGATCAGAAGTGGGACAGCCAAGGCAGCTGCATCCGTCTGGGCTGCTGGTAACTCAGATGGTCACTGTACCTGCTGTGTCACAGTGGCCGCCCCAGTGCCACATCTTTAAGAAATGAAACACTGTTCTGTAAAGTGAGTTGAGATTTCTGGCTATTTTTTTTTAGAAAGCCACTCTAATCCAGTTCATTACTAGTGGAACTCATATAATTCAGAAAGTGT